TGGTACTCACCTGTATACTGACTGGTACTCACCTGTATACTGACTGGTACTCACCTGTATACTGACTGGTACTCACCTGTATACTGACTGGTGTGATGTGTTTAGCTAATCGTAGCTTTTAGCTGCTGTTCTGCTAACGAGACGTGTCCTTGATGATGCTCGTCTCTCTCTTCAGACCCAACAGTCTCTCTAAAGACTCCTCACAGTCACATCAGCTCTCTCAGGGCCACAGAGGTCACAGGGAACCCTCCCCTGAGGAGGAGCCCTCGTACATGGAGGAGGAGGAGGAGGAGGAGGAGGAGCAGCACAGAGGCTACCACACCAACTACTCCCCCTCGCCTCCTCATCAGAACCAGTACAGCCCCCCGCAGCGAGGAGGGTACCAGTCAGACGAGTACAGGAGCCCCGAGCAGGACCCCGAGCCCAGCCCTCCTCCTCCTCCTCCTCCTCCTGTCCGCCACGCCAAACCCAGCAAAGAGCCCAGCAAGAACCATCACCACGGCGAGCGAAACAGGGACGAGGAGCGGCGGCAACGCAACGCTCAGACCAGCAGTGACCGAGGAGGAGGAGGAGGAGGAGGAGGAGACGCGAAGAAACCAGAGAGGCCGAAGAGTCCGGAGCAGAAGAAACACAGCAGGAAGTCCACGCCACACGACAGGAAGCAGGAGAAGAAGAAATCAGGAGGAGATGGTGAGTTCAGGGACCGGGGTTAATCACAGCGTTACACATGGGTAGATAAATTTATCAAGTTCTGTAGAGAAGCAGATAAATTAGAGAAAAAACAAACAAACAAACAAAGAGTTTAACAGTAAATCATGAGTTTGTTTCTCAACAGGAGATAAATTTTAACAGTTTGTATCAGAACATCCTGTCACAGAGGATCACGCTGCGTTCCGTTTGCATCGTATTCAGGAACTGGTAAATGGTAGTGACGTCATTTCCCAACAAATCAAATTACTGCATTCCAGTTAGCCGACAGGCTAACCTAGCTACAACGCTGCTACAATGTAAACAATGACAAGAAGAGAGCTCTGCTACGTACGTCATGCAAATAAACATTGATTTTAATGTATGCACAGAAAACACTACTTGTGTGATTAAATGTGCACAAAAAATAAAGATAATTAACAGTAAAAGTTACGGAGTTAACTTTCTAAAGCTGCGTGTAGCCGCCATCTTGAAATCGAAACTGGGAGCAGTTTCATTTCTTCCACTATAAGAGTGGAATATTACCACTGGAGGGGGCGCTCCAGTTTAAATCTACCAATGGGAACTGGGAAATTACCACTTCCCACCAGGACTACTGGAACGCAGCATCAGCTCTGTAGGTTCTGCTGACAGGAAGTCAAACGAAACGCAGACAGTTTCCTGACAATCGCTGACTCAGGTTTTCTTCAGATCCTTAAAGGGATCCCTGATTAGTTGTAACATTAGACTTTATTTAATAAACATTTATTTTAACTGTAAAATAAAGACTGTAAAACTACTGTAGGATGTTTAGTTTTTATCATTTTTAAAATAAAAGTTTAAAAATATATTACATGGATGGGGCCATTTTATTTCCACACAAAGCATTCTGGGTAAAT